AGCATGTGTGCAGCCGTAAACTTCAAATGTTGCATTTAGTTCATGGTGGAGAATAGAAATGAAGATGGTTTTAGTCATGATTTACATCGTGATTTAAATCACACTGATTTTCTAATTGTTATCTAACTGAAATCGTTTTCCACAGAAAAAATTGCCGAAATATTTTACAGTTTGTCCATCATTTGATGCGTTCACGTGTATATATTTTGTCTTTAAATGAAATATTCATCAGTGAGCGAATTTATGAAAGAATGCATTATTTAAACACTGCACACCTATAGCAGTCTAAAAATGAGTAAAAAGTGGTGCTCTTCGGGGCCAATCGGAGTATCGATGAAGCTTTCTTTTCAGGCTCCACCTTGCTTACGTATCGTCGTAAAGCAAAAACATCAGAAAGCTGGAGAAAAAAGAAATGCAAGGGAAAATGTGTCCTAATGCATGAAAATGAGACCTCGAAGAAAAAGTAAATCAAAATTTTTCACAGCAAAAATACAAAAAAGTTGCATTTTTTAGCATGGCTTTATTCAAGTTAATAAAATTGCTAATTTAGCTGTACTTTAAATTTATTCATTGCTTAATACGCATTATTTTCAATATTCCGACAGACAATTCAATCTATCTCTGCCCTGCGTAAAAATAATCTAATGTTAAAGAATCCCATTTTTATAGCTATGGTATTTTAAACCAAATTAACATGATTCAAATCAAGCAGATTTAATTGTACTAAATAAAAATCAGGTTCATTTTATTTGAGAAAAAAATCAGCTTTTTTTATCCTGATATTGATCGTATGGCTCCAGTTTATTCTGAGTTAGTGTTTATGCAGAACCTTGTGGTTAGGTTCAGGTATCGCGAGGGGGTACTGTTATGAGAGTGAATAGTCAGTGTTAGAGGACCGTACTCCAAAGCTTTGCGCACGCAAAGAAATTACATGTCGAGAATTCGCATGCGTAGAACGCAATAAAACGGCTAGCGTATTGCGTACGCACGCAATGCTGGCGATTTAACGTCGCGGGCTAGCGGGCTTTGACGGAAGCTCTCGAGAGATCTCGGGTCCAGCGAGAACACCAGTTTTAAGATGGCGGCTGCTTCGACTGGCGCAACAAGGGCGACGCGCTGTTAGCGAAGTTCAGTGTTACGTGAAATTGCGTGGTGTTCAGCTTGGCAATCCTTTTCAAGACCAACCGCAGTCAAATCAGATCGCCGTGCACCTGGAGGAGTGCATAGTGAAAATGTTCACCTCTCGTAATGCGCGTAAACGCTGCGATCTGCTCAACGCCAAGCCTCTATGCGAAGTTTATCTCCAACGGACAAACGTCTCTTCAAGAAATCGCGAAAGTTGTCGCTATGCAATGGACATCAGTAGCTCACGGATTTCTTCCAGAGATAGAATTGATAAAAGGAGCCGTTTTCACGGGACGATTGTCGAAGGCTTCGTAATCGAATTTGGCCACAAACTCGCACTCGTAGTCTTCGTACCCCGGAGGAAAGCACTCTTGACCAGGCAGCTAAGGCTTGGTTTGATTTGAAATAAAATTATTGAAAACGTTTTCATTTTTAATATTTCTTTAAAGGAGCATGATGGTGCTAAAAGTACACGAAATTCTGCGGCTCTGGCAATTTGAATCAAAAAGATTATGCGAGATGTTAATTCGGCAACGTAACGCAAAACTCCAATCGATCCGAGCAGGTCGTTTTTAGCGTACGCAATAATTTTGGGTATTGCGTACTTAAGAGTCAGCAAGGCTATACCAAAAATGTTTAATATGGATAAGAAGCGGAGCACGGGGCGATTGTGGGACACGGAAAAGAGGAAGAAGCCATGGGAAATCATTTCTGAACGCTGGATGTTTTAACAGTGTCTCCTTCATAACAATAGGTAATATTTATTAATTGTTGAATTTCTGAAGGAAGAAAAGAAAAACTGGATTTATAAACGTGGCTCTCAAACCCCTCGAGCATAAATGTATTATTTATGCGTTCTGCACGTATGAAGTATTTTTACTGTTCTACTCAACTTCTAAATTTAAAGAAGGTATTGTTTAGTTCGACTGAAACACAACAGCGCGTTTCCTCGCAAGAACGCACGTGTAATATTGCGTACAGGCCTATAGACTAGTTTTTTTTTTAATTTATAGGCAGTGATATGCGACTGATAGTCTAACTACTGAGACAAAGAAATGAAAATAACTGTTAAGATGGCATACCATTGAGATTTTGTCATCTTTTTCGTTATATTAGTTCTCCTTCTCTCGGGGTTTAGATTAGGATTTCTTCTAAGCAACTTTCGTGCATTCTTTCGCTTCTTGCTACATCCAACTGCCGTGTTACGAATGTTTGTTGGAGTATGTTAAGCGCAGTACGAGAAGGCGGATTTCTTTGCTCAGTATCTTGATTCTCTTTTAGAGCGCAGCTCTTAGGCGCCCGTTTCCGGCTTGAGCGGCGTCGGCGTCGCCGTCGGCGTCGCCGTCGGCGTCGCCGTCGCCGTCGCCGTCGGCCTAACCGCGCGGTGCATTATGGGTAAATTTTTCCGAAGGGACCCGAGCACTCCCGAAGGAACCCGAGGTCGTCCCGAAGGAACCCGAGGTCCTTCGGGAGGACCTCGGGTCCCTTCGGGAGGATCTCGGGTTTCTTCGGTAGGACCTCGGGAGGACCTCGGGTTCCTTCGGGAGGACCTCGGGTTCCTTCAGGAGTTGCATGCAACAGGTTGCACGCAACAGGTCACGTGACCCCATGGTCACATGACCTCTTAAGGTCACGTGACCCCCTGGAGTCACCTGAACCAGCTGAGGTCACGTGACCCCCTGTCACGTGATTCTCCTGAGGTCACGTGACCCCCCTCCCCCGAGGTCACGTGACCCCCTTGACGTCACCCGACCTCGCATGAGGTCACGTGACCTCAAGGAGTCACCTATCCCTCAGTACGCTTTTATCCTCCTCCTCAAGAGCTCCGCTCCAACCGGCGTTACAGGGAATTGTAAACGGCTTTCATTTTTTTAGAGCGCAGCTCTTAGGCACCCGTTTCCGGCTTGAGCGGCGTCGCCGTCGCCGTCGCTGTCGGCGTAACCAAGGTCACCCCAAGGTCACGTGACCCCTCCCAAGGTCACGTGACCCCTCCCAAGGTCACGTGGCCCCTCCCAAGGTCACCCAAGGTAACGTGACTTCCGGTCACCCCAAGGTCACGTGACCCCCCAATGTCACGTGACCCCTCCCATGGTCACGTGACCCTCCAAGGTCACGTGACCCCTCCCAAGGTCACCTCAAGGTCACGTGACCCCAAGGTCACGTGACCCCCCCTCCCCCCCGTCACGCGACTCCCCCCCCACCCCCCTGAGGTCACGTGCCCCCTCCCCCGAGGTCAGGTGACCCCGCCGGAGCATATTAAAGAATGAGGTTTAGGAGGAGGAAAAGGAAGAGGAGGAGGAGGGGTCTACCCTCCCCTCAGTACCCTTCCCTCCTCCTCCTCAAGAGCTGCGCTCCAATTCGGCGTTACAGGGAGTTGTAAATGGCTTTCACTTTTTTAGAGCGCAGCTCTTAGGCGCCCGTTTCCGGCTTGAGCGGCGTCGCCGTCGCCGTCGCCGTCGGCGTAACCGCGCGGTGCATTATGGGTAAATTTTTCTGAAGGGACCCGAGTTATCCCGAAGGAACCCGAGGTCGTCCCGAAGGAACCTGAGGTCCTTCGGGAGGACCTCGGGTCCCTTCGGGAGGACCTCGGGAGGTCCTCTGGTTCCTTCGGGAGGACCTCGGGTTCATTCGGGAGTTGCATGCAACAGGTTGCTTGCAACTGGCATGCAACAAGTTGTATGCAACCTGTTGCATGCAATCCAGGTTGCATGCAACCTGATGACTTCATCGTCATCCGCATCGTCATCGTCATCATCACTGATGACGTCACCAGTGACGTCACTGAACACTTCATTGGCATCCGCATCGTCATCGTCATCATCACTGATGACGTCATTGGCATCCGCATCGTCATCGTCCTCATCACTGATGACGTCATCAGTGACGTACCGATGACGTCATCAAATCGTCATCGTCAAGGTCACGTGACCCCCGAGGTCACGTTACCCCCGATGTCACGTGACCGCCTGAGGTCACGTGACGCCTAAGGTCACGTGATCCCTGAGGTCACATGACCCCCTAAGGTCACGTGACCCCACTGAGGTCACGTGATTCTCCTGAGGTCACGTGACCCTCGGAGGTCACGTGACCTCCCTCCCCCGAGGTCACGTGACCCCCTTGACGTCACCTGACCTCCCACGAGGTCACGTGAGCTTAAGGAGTCACCTGTCCCTCACTACGCTTCCATCCTCCTCCTCAAGAGCTGCGCTCCAACCGGCTTTACAGGGAATTGTAAACGGCTTTCATTTTTTTTGTGTTGACTTTATTTTCAACCAATGATGAAGGCAATGCAAAGAGGAGGCAATTAACCTCTAGTGGAATTTGTACGCGAAGGTATAGCGTCGATAATAACTCAGGATAAAATATTAGCATGAATGTAATATTAAGAAACGGCTCCACACGAGGCTACGGACGCCAGCCTCATTAAAAGGATTGCGAAACTATACTGCTCCTCACGTTCCATTTCAATTTTTAAACGCAGAATCCACGCGCGATATAGCGGAAGTTAAACAAAAAAGGTATACTTTAATCAAACGGTGGTTGAACTGCAATGATGGAGTGCAGCTAATTGCTTTATTAATAAAAAAACTCAAAAATAACCGTGTTGTTACATTTTATTTTCAAATTCTACAGATAAAAATCTCGTCAACACACTTTCCTAAATAACATCATACGGATACGTTATTCGGCCACACGTAAAACAAAACATTCGACACCAGCTGCGGTCCAGTGTCTAGGCTTGCACTTGATTTTTTCGCGATATGAGAATTAAAAATCCATAGCTTCGATACTATTCCTAGGAGCTTAAGGATCGTCAAATGGAGTTTGTTAGAAGTTTTTTTTTTGTTTTCTCCTGTGTGATGAATCACAGATCACTATACTGTTATAATATCAAGAACTTCAATATCTGAATCGAGCAAAGCGGTTAGGTTGTTTTCTAGGATTTGTTGAACAACGGCTCCAATAGCGGCTAACTTGAGGGACATGTCCTTCTTAGGCTTGCGTTTCTTCTGCAAGAAACAACAGGCTAGTTTAGAGTCGTCGCAATAAAACTCAACGTTCATTGCTTACCTTCGGTTTTTCCGGAATGATCACGCAGTCGTCTCCTGGGGCCTCCAACTTGGGGACATATTTCGGGCAGGAGAATAGGTCCAAGAAAACTGGGTCTAATTTCATCATGAAGTTTAACCTGTACATAGGGGACAAATATGAAATTATTTGTTTCCCCGCATTTTTCGCTAAGTTTTTATTTATTTCTCTCGCTTTTTTTAAAAAGTAGCTTTGCGCAATTTGTAACTTTGCTTTTTCCCTTCATAACGAAGATGTTATGCTTCAAATGTGACCACATAACTTTGGAGATGGAGCATAGAGAACTGTGCACTTCTCTACGTTGAGAGACACCCCTTTAAGGTTACTCGATGTACGCACTTTAGAATATAGGGTACGTATTGGTGCCATTAAGAACAACTCCCACGCCATTCTAGATTTTAAAGTTCAATTAAGTTAATGTAAGCTTAATTTTCGATAAACAACAACATTACAATTTGCTTGATTCTATTCATCTTCTATCTTCTCTTCATATTGCCACGCGCGTCGGCGAGCGACCGCGTGCGTGGCCGAGTGATTACCACGCTTGACTGTCGCGCGGAAAGTCTAGGTTCAATTCCAGTCAGTGCAATGTTTTGTTTATTTATCATTTCAACATTGCGTTCTCGTGAGTTCGAGAACATTCTCGACTGATCGAGTTCCGAATGTTCTAGTCGCCGAACGTTCGAGGCCGATTGTTCCAGAAGCCAACACGCGTACATAAGGGGCTCCGCGTTGCGATCTGCGGATAGAGAAAGGAACGTAAAGAGCGGACACTCGAGCCGTTTTCCGGCCCAGGAGCTAGGTAATCTACTGGCCGTTGGGAGGCGCATGAGTGCCAATTAATTTAGAAGTGAATTTTGTTTGTTTGGTATGTGTGCCACCAACGCGAATTGCTATTGTTAAGATGTCGCTTTCGGTAGCATAGAGGACAGGAAAAGTGATGACAGACAGACGATATAATGATGTATGGATGCCGAGCCGGCCCGTGGGGCCTGGTGTGAGATGGTCGTGCACGCCACTGCCCCGTGTTAGACTTCATCTTCCCTACAGTATTATTACTATCGCCCGTGTTACTCAGAACGTTCTGCTATCTTTTTGGCAGCTCTACGACGTTTATGTTCATTGTGAATTTACGCTGTGTATGTGTTTGTTTTTCTTTAAAGTATACCCACAACTCGCAATGTTGATGTTCCTTGCAGAAGCCCCTTTCTAACCGGTTGTTTTCTTTCCCGTTTGTGCCACAACAAGACGCGTCAGAAAATCTCAGTTTCCTCGGGACTGGTATTCTTTTAAATATTTTTCTTTACTTGTACGGTACACTATACTCCGTCACCCTCGGCCGGCACCCGAGGGTGACCAAAACAGCTCTGCTCAACGTTGGGAGCGTGTCCCTCCACCCTTCTGGCTTAGCCTCTGGTAGCGTCAAGTCACCTCCAGAAGCTTCCTATCTCCACGATTTAGCAGATGACAGCGAAAGCGCAAATACTTCGAGCGACGTAAAGATGCATGTTTTGCACTGCTCGATTGTCTCCATCACCTCGTAGCCTTGGCTGAGGGCGGACTTTATGTGAAACGGTGTATAGGTGCGGAGTTTTGTGTTCCCTCACCACGATCGTGTGTACGACACCGAGGTTATCCGACTGAAATCAACGGCACACGCTGCAGGGACGACTGGATACAGTCGCACCTCAGTCTCCGTCTTGTTTTTTAGCTGCGAGCTAATGGAACCAATTAAGCGGCGTGAAAAGCCAACGTCAGTGGGCATTTTTTTAAGGTGAAAGCATTAACTGTACCATGGAGCGAAGCCCGCGCTGTCTGTAACGGTCGTCTGTAACCATCTTTAGCAGAAAAAAGGGCACCTAAATTTGCATTCCCAGATGACCTGTCACCGAAGCCGGCGGGGGCGTTCAAGGTCAAAGCTGATGCGCATCAGAAATAAGACGCAAAGAAAAGCACAGCAACGCAATGCATCGTCACGAAAGCCATCATGAAGCCGGCAGGGTTCTTCGCGCCTGCGCAGTAGGGGAGCGTGATGTCACCGCCGGAGCGCCGTATGCGATAGAAAGACGTGGCGCGCTGCTTGTAGGAATGCGCTGCGTGTCAGGATGCTTTTGCATTCTTACACGTAAGCAGTTTTTAGTGTCTCTGCCGAATCGTTTTGTTTATGATTGGTTCAGCAATAATAGGTAACGTGCAGAAACATGGCGAACACCATGATAGTGCGCTTTCCACGCCGTCTGATTAGTCCCTAATGCTGGCAGGGTCGGCTGCTCCGTGGCTGAAGGTGAAACGAGGTATAATAGCCACACTTTCGTAATGAATGAAGACGCTCTTCAAATGTATTTACGAAATATATTTCCTTCCTCAAAAATGCAACAATTCCGCTGCTTGATTTATGTGCACAATTGTTTTGGTTGTTGTAACTAGATATTTGCTTATTTTATGACACAAACAAAAAATCCCGAACGTGGCACCGTCGACGTTTTGGTGAAATATACAGAACATTGCATTTTAGGATTCATTATAAATGTTCCGTACTAAATACTGTACGCCTTCAATATTTACATGTGATATTGATTGGTACCACTTTTGTTTATTTTCACAAAATAACTTATATTACTTTTTTTAATTTTGTCAAAAATACATTTTTTTATATTTTTAGTCCGCCTTATTCAAAGAAGAATTTTTTAGATTTATTTTTATTACTTCTTATTATTCCCAGTGATTTGAAGTCATGAACTCTTTATTGGTTGAATCAAAGTTTCTTTTTTTTCTTGAATCTTTTTAGAAGTTATCAAACACGCACTAATGGATCCGAACAGGGGAAATGGAAGTTTCGCAAGTTTGCTTCAGTGCAATGTTCTTATGCTTAATATACTAAGGGCAAGGGAGTTGGGAGTGCTTGGAAGGTGAAGGGTTGGTGGGAGCTGGCAGTGGGAGGAAGGCGTGGGGAGCGGGCTCAGTGGCCGTGCCGCCATTAGGAAAAAATGTCTTTCCCTATCCCCCTTTTACGCTGTGCCGACGCTCCAACTATGCGTTTTTTAAAAAAATAATTATTTGAGTTTGTAAGTTTGAGTGGGGCTGCATATTTTTGTGCAAGTCAGTTTAGTATATATATATATATATATATATATATATATATATTATTTCTGTGTCTCCTCGTGTTTGTGTTTTTCTGCTTGTCATGTTGTTTCCCTGCCGTAGGGTGTGCCGACACGATCCTTACGTCTGTTAAAAAAAAACAGAAAACGACACCTACAACCGGTAGACGTGAAGTTGTAGCCAGCATTCCAGTGACCTACTCCAGTTGTTTACAGTACAAGTTTCTTGTCTTCAGTTTTATCAATGACCGACGATGACAGGTTTGATGAAGCCTCCTTGAGATGGTCAAGATAAACAGAAGATGTATCAAAATTAACGTCTTCGCTCGGATTATCATCTCAACGTCGGTCGGCTGATGTCAATCTTGTTTTCTCTTAGCGCTGCCGTGATAAATAATACTGATATAATCTGCCAGAATTGATTCGAACTCCTGGGTGAGAAACTTTCTGCGCCTTGCGATAGGGATTTGAGCTCAAGTTCGTGCCATGTGCTATTTACGAGCACGATGTGGTAAGACATCCTGAAGAAGGCATTCTCGGGAGCGGACTAGACACGACTCCTCGGGAATTCACGTCCTCAAAAAACACGAAATTTCGACAGTCAGAGCTGAAATGAAAGCTTGGCAAAATAGAAATAGCATTTAGTTTAAATTTTTTATCAACATAGCTACAGCCTATTAGACTAACCCAAGCAGCTAAAACTTCCCTACCAATGCTTCAGCTCTACTTATGATGAGAGAAGGAACAATGTGCGTCAAGATTTTGTGAAGGCGGTGTTCCATCGAAAGTGATGCCAGCTCCAGATACTGACTCATGTCAACGTTACGATAATCTAGGCGAAAGGATGAATTGCCGTAGTGTCAAAACACTTGTGGCGAAATGTGGAGAACCGGCAGACCCACTTAAGTGCGTAGAAATTAGGAGATCTTTTCTGCGGGTGGACGATAAGCGCTGTTTGTACAGACCGCGCAAACATCTAGAAAAGGTCGCTCTTTAAACAAGTAGAGGTATTGCACTTGGCCACTAAGTACTGCACAAGGACGAACTTGATTGTTTAAATGAAGGTGAAACATAAAATGTGCCCTGTAAATCATTAGGATTGCAACATAGAACTCGTAGTCAGAATATAGGCCATAAGTTGTGTTTGGTAGACGTATCTGATGTTACTGAAAGCCATCACCTAGACTAAGGGATTACAGCATTTCATTCCCTCTGTTTATAATGAATAAGGATTAACTCGGACTAAAGAGTATAAACCTACGTGTTCAATACAAATTTCTATCTCTCTTTCTATTTTTCTGCTCAGAAATCAGATTACAAAGCAAGAGCTAATCTCAATAAGCCTCCGTGAAAGCACACCTCAGCAGAATTAAGTTGAGGAACTTTACAGCTCGAAAACCTTCATTCCGATATATAGCTTCATTTTATAGCGACCATCATAGGGAGACTCGAAAAATAAAAAATCTGTGAACGTCAGCCATTGAGAAAACTAGACACACGCAATTTCGAATCCAAAAAGCTGAAGCAGGGTTTGGAACGCTATGTACAATACCAGGGCTATGTAATTTAGATCTAGTCTTCTAGTTTTAACATCCGCTGGGATTATGTGGTACACTTTTCGGGTGGGAAAGAGCCCAAAAAGCAGAAAACACAAAAAATAAGGGATACAAAAATATTACTTAAACTAAACTGAGATAAACGCCAGTTCTGCCTAAACAACGGAGACGTGAAGGAAGACATTCTTTTCTGATAGCAGCACGTTTACGTAGCCCTCTCCCCTCCACGCTCTTCAAAGCTAGTTCCTGCCGCCACTTCACCTCACAAACACGTGCAACACCACTGTCCTTCAAAATTTTGAGCCTGAAAAGCCTTCCAGTAAAGCCAACTTGCAAAACAACCATGTTGTCGATTTTGGTCCATTGATGCGTGTTTGATGACATCTAGAGAAAAGATACAAAACAAAGGGGAATTCTGGTTAAGCAAACGAAAAAAAGTTAACATAGGAAATATTCAAACAAAAGTAAGCAACAAAAAAAAAAAAAAAAAAACATAATGTATGTTTCAGTAAAGCGGGCCTGAGAATGAATGAATTCATTATTTGATTAAATCTAATAAAAGAATATTTAAAAAAAAATATTTTTTGTGAAAATACATTAAACAAAAATAAACTTCTGTTTCTTTTGGTTGTTTTTTTACCACAACAGAACACTATTTTTAACACGTATTTTTAATAATAAGAAAAGTAAAACGGCAGGCAAGAGACTTCGGATATAGGGAGGGAGTAAAACTCGTGACTGGGGCTTAGGTCTCTGCCTCTTGCGCCCCCCGTGGTCTCAGTATCTGAATAACACTGGGGTGCACTATTGCCGGTCAGCGCTCAGTGCGTTTTCAACAGGCGTCAAAAAACGGTGCGTGGAGAAAGCGTGCGCTTACATTCTCTTTCTTTAACCTACGTTCTAATTATTTATTTAGAAATGTCCTGGTGTTCTTATTTATATCTAACTTCCATTTATACCTGAAATTTTTATTCTATCGTTCGCCAATGGCTCAACCGAAGCTCGACTTGTTTGTAGCCTCGAAAATATGAATGTAGAAACCGTATTTATTATTTATTTGTCACGTGTAACTAACTGCCCTGTCTTACTAACTTCGTATACCACGAAGTTAGGCTGGGATGTCTAGATGTTCCTAAATCAATTCTTATTTCAAGTTTGGTCAGGTGCCTGACGACTTCGAGAGCTTCGCGATTCCAATAGAATCAAGCGTCAGCCGCAAAGACGCTTTTATCTTTCTCCAGGGGAAAGAACACTTTCATCACTCCGCTGGAGAATCACGATGCAGCGCATCAAGGATCCAAGAGGCACAATTCTTCACTCCCATTCAATGCCTCAGTTGGAAGGGTGTTGTTCATGGTGGCAGTCGACATATTCACAAAGAAACGAAGCAAGACGTCTGACGAAATTTTTGAGAGACAGCTTGTACTTACGATACTCAAAGTCAATGAAGTGTTACTGGGGGCAGCAATAAGCACTTAAATTACCATCTTTCCGTTTGTTTCTTATTCAACGACAGCAATGTTTGGAATAACGTCACAAAAATGACGCATTACATTTTGCTGTAACGGCCACATACTTTTATGGAAGGGTAATTGAAACGGTAAATAATAACAATTTAGCCTGGAGTAATTGTAAATGTATTTCCTTACATTTTTGTAAAGTATGCAAATCTGATATCGTCTATGTTTCCTTTGCGAGATTTATCGCTGTAACCTAATACTTTCCCAGGCGCAATGCTTAGAACCGTCTGGCATATCAACATACTCCAATCATCAAATAGAACTAAGGATCCTCCGTTACAGCACATCTACTTTTAATGCAGAAGTAAGATTCTGATTAGAGGTGACTTCACTCCGCCAAATGTTACTTGGCCAGAAGATGAACTCTCCTGTCAAGGCAGTGAAATATCTGATGCGCTTTGTGACTTAGCGTTTTGTCGCTGCCTTCCATATCGTGTGAAGCATCTGGCACGGGTTACTGCAACATCTAGCACGTTGCTAGATCTTTTATTTGTGAGTAAACAGTTTGATGACTGTGAGGTTACAGTTTATGAAGAAATATCAGATCATACGTTTGTGTTTTTCAATGTGCTTTCAATGAATACTAGAGGGACACGGCTGGATGGAAGATACATTTTGATCACTAAAGGGCTAATGACGAGTGGGTAATTTACGATCTTGAACAACACCTAGATTGGTTCAACAATATTACAGATGTAAACGAATTGTGGCGAAACTTTTAAAGACTAATATGCAATTGCTTTTCAAACTTTATACTCCAAGAAGCCAAAAAAAAGAAAGATTGGACGTCAAAACCCTTGGATCCAAGACGAAACACTGCAGGTAAAACACAAACTCTAAAGGATTCGTAAGCGTGGTTCACCTATGATTACTGAAGTCTAGAAAATTGAAAAATCTACTAAAGGAGGCTAAAAAAACTAATTCTACATTATGACTGCCTGGATTTATGCTATCATCGCCAAAAAGGTTATAGTATTACCCCGCGACGTCTAAAGCCAGCATAAGGCAGGTATCCTTCAATAATAGAAATATTTAGGTTAATATGTGACGTAAATTTACTAAATTTTTTCAGTCACTTTTCACAAGGAATTCAAGCGAGCCAAGCAGTATTCCAGGACGCGAGGGTTTGTTAAACGTAAGCAACTTGATATTTGAAAACGGTTTTGTGTCATTACTCTTATCAGTACATGATAGGAGAGCGATGGGATCAGGTGGAATACTGAACGCATTTCATAAAAATACGCCGGATGGTCCGCGAAATACCTGATGTGCGTATTTTTCAAATCAATCGAACATGCCTATCTGCCGGACGACTGGTTGATAGCTAAAATTGTTCATGCCAAAAAAGTGGCGGCAGCCATTTAATCGAAAATTATCGCTCTATTTCTTTAACTTGAACGTCCACTAAATTGCTGGAGCCTATTTTGAACAAGCAACTCGCTACCTTCTTAGAACAAAGTGACACACTCGGTTCCAACCAAATGGCTTCCGCAGAAAACTGTATACAACAACACAAATAATGGAATGCTACGATGATATATGTACATATGTTAATGTTCGTCAAAAGGTGGGTGCTGTATTAATTGACCTATCAAAGGTGAGGCAGCGGCGGGAGTGCGAAGCTCGGCGCGGCGCGTGCTGAAATCACCTCTCCTCTCAGCATCATCATCCCCCTAGCTGCGGGCACCAGCTGACGACGTTAGGTCTAACGTTACGCTTAACGTTAGGCCTAACCTCAGGCGAGCGCATACCCGAGTCCACCCTCACATCAAACAGCTGCGCGCACCGGTTGACAACGTTAGACCTAAAAGCGTGATGATAGGCCTATCGTTTGGCCTAATGTCAAACCAGCGCATACACGCGTCCCCCCGTCCCGCTGCGCCGCCAGCAGTTCGGCCGGCTCCTTAGCAACGATGCCGCCGTTGCTAATGGAGCCACATGACGAGTCGCAGCCAATAGGAATTTAGGAGCCGTCTCGCTCGGCCTATATTAATTTAGTTGCCGCTTTTCGTTGCTATAGACAACGGTTACAGAAAACGTCGGCTTCGCTTCATTGGACACTTAATGCTTTCACATTAAACATAATCGAAATTAAAAGACACGGAATGAGAGAACCACGAAGGCAAAAATGGGAAGTAAATTGAGCACAAAGGATGGAGTCTCTACACAAAGCCCGTGCTCAAGTTATGGTAATGACAAATTTGTTTTTTAGAGCGGAGCTGTTAAGGGCTAGTTTCTTTAGGATCGTGTCCCTGGACAAATTAATCTCGACACAACCTCTGGATAGCTACCGCCATCAATAAGCGACAGTGGCATCCAGACAACAGGCTTGCCGGTTGTCTGGTTGCCGCCGTCACTCATCGATGGCGGCAACATTTCTTCGGGAGAAGAAGAGCGGCAGCGGAAGGAGCGGCCACTTGCGCAGCAGAGCGAATGGTTCCGAAACCGCCGCGAAGCAGTTTTCGCCTGAGGTTCCACTGCGTCGTGCGCGTCAGATTCCCTTACGAAAGAAGAGCAGATCGCCCGCCTGGAAAGCTACCGCCGAGAACAGAGCTACAGCTCCGCTGCTCTCCCTTCTTCACAAGACTAGAAAGACTGAAAGTTTTTCTTTCTTCGTTCTAAGCATATCGTGCAAGATTTAGTCTCAAATAGTTTTCGGCGAGCCAACGCGTTATCCACATACAAAAGTAAAGTGCAGTGCTCTTGAAATAGGAAGAATCTGTAAGCTAACTAGCGTGCACTCACGCGAGGCGTGACGTATTGCGTTACGCTTCTTGGTTCGTGATTGGTTTCTTGGCGTTCTTACAGACGGTTTCCGCTTTCTGATTGGCTCCGGAGACTCGATAAGATTATGGTGCCTGGAACGCGTGTCCGACTGATGTGTTTAGCGTCCTACATAGCCCATACATCAAAAGTGTTTTCGCTGCGGCAACAAATGACGTCACAGAAGCCGGAGTATTATGCTGTCGGAGGTCGCTATTATGGCGGTTGGCCTTACAAATGCCGGAGAAAAGAATGAGCGAAAGCGAGTCTCGCTGTGGTCGCGGCGTCCCAACTTATGGCTGCTGAAGCTTCCGTGCACTGTCACACCAGAGGGCGACCTCCAGCAGAACAGGCGTCTGCCATATATACACCACAGCTGCTGGAACGTCGCCAGGATTGTGACCGGCGACAGCATGGCACTTCTATGACGTCATCAGGCGGAAATCGAGGGACCACTTTTTGGGCGCAGTGAACACACCAGTCGGAGACGCGTTCCAGGCATAATAATAAGATAATAGAAATTCGCCGCACCCTGCCTTTCTTAAGCCGCCCTTTACTTTAGCATGTTGTTTGGATTTTTGTAGCAACATATACTGAAGAAAGCGCAATAAAGGAGAGAGCAGAAAACAAAACGCGTCTTCTGCTTCTCCATTTGTATGATTTCTTTTTTCACAATAGTCCGATAATGTCAGGCGCCTTTGTATTATCAGCCTTACCTTTCTTCACTCTCGGTGACAGTATAACTGTACCCAGCTCCTCTGCAGAAAAGCTGTAAAAAAAAGCATATGATAAACGTATTTATTTACAAGCTAAGAGCTCGTACCCTTTCGCTTTCGTTCTTTTTTTATGTTTAGAAACCGGCCATATAAATATATTAGGATATCTATCACACGTAAATTGTGGGATAGAGAAATCATAGAAACTTAAGAGTAACTTCTATCTCATGCGCTGGATGAACTTCGAGCAACCTGAGTGGTGCCATCGTCGAAAGAAAACGTTAGAGTGAGTTCAATTCACAGTGCTCAACTTGTAAGCAGTGCAGGCAATCGTGTTCAGTATTGTAACTTCAATAACAAGTATCTACTTTTAGTAATGATGAATGTTAAGGACGGTCAATATTTTCGTCTATCTTTTGTGACTAGTTTCTGGTGCCGGTGAGCCTTATTCGCGCGTCGTAACATTTTGCTTAGTGCGATTTTCTTGTTATATTTAAAGCGATGTATCCTTTTTAACACCTGTTTTTTTTCTTCTTATACACTGCCACATACTGTATTAGGCCCGAACTATTCTAGTCCCACAAAGTAGTAAAAGCATCTTTAAATAAAAAAGAAAATATTATAACTCCATAAATATTGCGCCTTTCAGGCGTTTCATTCTAGTTTCATCATTTTTTTTCTCTCTATTTGGGAATTGAAACGTAGTAGCTCAACTTCTAGACCGATATCGAGGAGTCCCCGTTTTTTTTTTTTTTTTTTCGCATGCTTGAAATGTCTATTAGAAAGTTACGCTCTTTCTTTCGGAACATGCCGTGATCTGGCATTTATCCCGAAAAACGATGGAGTTAGCTCTTCTTGCATACGTTCTGTGTAAAACAATGACGGCACGTATGGCTCCCTTGGGAGGGAAATAGAGGAAGTTCGGACAGATATCAAGCGATTTGGGGAATCTAAAGTGATAGGTTTCTTGTGCCAATCGGACGCCAAGGTCTGTTTCGAGTGACGTACAGTGGGCGGCAACATTAGTTGGCTTCACCGAGCTCCAGCAGGCGGTCTAAAATCTCTCATGGTCCGATTCCGACATTCTATTCAGTGAATTAACTGTCAAAATTGTTCGTTTAATAAGTATCCGGTTGAATATATTGGATAAATTTATGCTCTTGAACCATAAGGTTTTTATACCCAATACGTGGCAGTGTTTCTATATTCGCTCGACATCTTTTGCTGTGTGATGGATTGTAAAATCCGCAAGCATTGGTAACGAAGAAGAGCATGCCTAGAGGTGGGACTTTCAAACATGAAGGTCAGCATTCGTAGTTAAAACAAGCCTGCGCTTGAGCAGTGCACTCATGGGAGCCCAAGACATATAACCCGGGAGGATGATCTACAACGCCTTTGAGAGAGACAAATGCAAACTACTACACAAACGTTTGTTCTAAACAACTAAATTCCCGATTATGCTTGTAAAATTCACAGCAAAAATAAGTGTTTGAGTTAACTTTCCTGGAGAACACCCCAGAGACTGCTCCAATCACTTATAACACAACAGGCTTTCCCGCTCATAATATTCCAAGTGCCAAATTTTAATCCGAGCGTCCCCGAATTTAATCCAGCTGTACACCAATTTAATCCAAGTGCCCATGAGTTTAATCCGAGTTGTCAACTCTTTAATTCCAACGCCATTCATCTTAATTCAAAAGTCACTGAATTTAATTCGTTCATATGTGCGAATTACCTATGACTACCAAACCCGTATGTTAAAACGGTTTTAGAGGTCTAAGTTGCTTTAAGTCACGAATGACTTTTCACAGTATGTGTGCTTTGTGTGACTGTTCTCTCGTGTATTTAGAGGAATTTCGTAGACCTAATAAGTAAGCTCGAGGCGACTGATGAAGTTGCTTCGCTGAATTTAGAATAGTAACGAAAATTTTCAAGAGGCTTGACAGTGAAACAATGTTTTGCTGTCAAGCCCGTGTGAGTCGCCCTATTATTTGAGGCACGCTCAATTTAATTTCGTGGAAGATAATGTAGAAAGGTTTCGAATTAGTTCCAGACTCGATACTGAACCCGCACGACGTCGACCGCTACACACCGTTTCACAATTAGCCCGACCTCAGCCTGCGCGACGATTCGAGGGTGCCGAACGGACAGCGACAAAACATAAATGCTTCGTCATGGCGCTCGCCTGTTTGTGCGTTTTTTTGATCCCAGGTTAAACCAATGACGCACCTAAAAAGAACGCAGTATTATGGGACATCTACGGTGCCTGATTGGTTTATTGGAGGATAGGCGAACGCACAAAGACTATTTGCCCCCTAACGATGCGCTTTTTGCCGTCGCTTGTTTTGCCTAAAGACCCTAGATAAGACCTTCCTGCAACTAGCGGCATTCTTCGAAGCGCTGACTGCCTGACAGTGCATGTTTTAGGAAGCAAATGGCGGCGCACAGCAGAGGTTTGAAGTGAATGCCGCCAGTTTGTTCCAGTGGAATGTGATTTTTGTTTTTATAGCTTGTCATTACTTGTAAAAGAAGCATCAAGAGACTATACTCCGGCTCCATCTAATTGTACCGTTGGCTGCGGTAGGACTCAATGTGAAACGGGGTTTGGTTGTTTCAGGCTCCGTGACAGTCTGTGACCCAAGCCGTCCTACTCCGCGCAACCAACTTGGGGCGGCGGGACCACATGGAGACGCAGCGAGGACAACGATGACTGCTACCCAATCTGCGGATGAGAACCTTCCAAGTATAACACCTGACGCTCCTCTGGCTGTAGGCCTTCAAAGTTTGGTCGAATTACTTGCTCCATTGTTGCACAGAGTGAACGCTTTAGCCGAGGCCGCTACACCGCCCATTACGTTGCCATTCGTTACGTATTATAAGCCGCGTGTTATTCGCTTTTACACGGCAAGTTTTCCAGCGTTCGTGTCTGCCAACGTCCCGATGTCTGAAGACGACCTTTGGCCGAACGAATAATCATAAACGGGTAGACTGCTTAATGTTGTGAAAAATGACGTGTATAAGTTTGGATTATACAGACTCCAACCTGCAGTTAGGTGTTTCTTAGCGTTTCTAGATGTTTTGCCGAGTTCTATTAACATCTTAAAGTCACAAGCAGCATCGCTACATACACAACGGTTTCCAATCAGGCTTGCTTCGTCATGTATGATGTTTGCTGTTGTAAACAAAACGGCGGCAGGTGTCAAGTGACGTTCTCACGCAACCTCGGAGCTAAAATTATATAAAACGTTGCATACTGGAATGTTTTAAGTAAACTTTATAATGATCGTGACTTCGAGCAGTTGCGTGGCAGCTTCTGGTATGTGTCAAGTGAGTTACTTTCGAAGTTATTTTGATAGAGTATAGTATTCAGTAATTATACACACCTGTCCATAAGTGTAGTAGAAGAGTTTCTCAGAAGTAATAGACTGGTCACCTGGGAGGGCGTAATCCACATTCTCGTCCTTTATTGCTTCAACGTATGCCTGTTGTTTGGTTAAAACATTACACAAAATAAACATTTTGAATACTAAATATTTGTGCTCAAGAACTTGAAGGGCTCGGGGTACGGTTTAAACAACACAAAAACAGACAAACAGAGGAGAAAAACCATATCATATATAAGAACCAACTAGCCCACTTTTCGAATCTGTTGAAGGGCACATAACTTATTATAAAATCATAAAGGCGCGATAATAGCAGTGCAATTATATGCTTCAAATATCTTGCCTGTAAACGTTAATGTATTTGTTTGTTTGTTTATTTGTCTAGTTTTCTTTAGGACGGGCCTCAAAAGAAGTACCAGTGCCAAAGGCCGCTCGAGCCTGCCGAGGCACTCGTCCCTTACAGTTCAACCCAACAATAAAAAGGTGCACCAAAAAACCCATAAACTACATAATATTAGCAAGTACATAACAAGGTATGACTATACGATATACGCATGTGAAACACAGAAATCGCCACTGAAAATTAACATAGCCAAAAATTTGTGACAGGCGCCTCTAATTCACTTATGTGCCCCCACATGGCGTACTAACCTTTAACTTTTACGCCGTGTGCACATCCGTGCCAAGGCAGAGTGTGTTCCGAGTCGAAAAACAAAAACAAAAAAACAGTATTTTCGAAGGTAAAAAAAGAAGATAACCAGTGTATTGCGGTTGGAGCATACTGATAACTTTATCATTATTTCTTCATGGCGATTGGATTAAGAATATCGGAACTTCTAAACAACTTCGGAGAAGTCATTGCACGCATTTTATATTTCTTACAGTTTCCTTGGAGTGCGATGTAGTTAGGTACTTACAGGTATAGTTCTGTTAAGAGTAAGTGTAGGGCGTGCAGCGTATGCTGCTATTGGTAATTGATTCCGCACAGGACGTATCTCAGGATGGATTGTCAGCTGATGTATGCAGGCACATAATTCTTTACGCGTTTATTTATCTCCACTTTCCGCCTCGTGCAATGTTGTCACCAATAACAAGAGTAGATAAATTTAGAACAATAAATAAATGTTTTATGAGGCGCACATGTACCTACAAATCTAAAGGGAAAGGTGCCACACATATTCCGTCTGCGACGGAAAGGTGAGTGAACCGAAGCAGCGTGTTACCGATACTTTCATGTACGTGACAAGTTGAGAAATTCTCTGACCAAGAACACTCGATGGCAGCCGTGAATCGGCAAGAATATTTTAGAATAGTAAAGAATTAATAAAAGAGGAATTCGGGCCTAGCGGAATCGCAACCCCATTCCTCTGCGTCAGAGCCGCATGCGTTGCAAATTCTGCCACGCACGTGGCTATTTCTTATTATTTTTTTTATTTGTACCATGACACGACGCGGTGACACGCAATCGGGATAAAAGATTAAAAACACCATCCATCTTGGCTATTGTCAAACGTGCTACAAGTATTTGAGGGTAAAGACCTCAAGAAGTTGCAGCCACTCAGGTGTCGGTTGCCGGTCCCTATACAGTTTTTTAAAAAGCACACATGAGCTCAACTAAATACTTTGTATGTACGGAGCAAACATTGATATTCCCGTGGCTTACCGCCATGCGGCAACGCCATATTGCCGCGCGCGCAGCTGGCCAGGTAGGCAGCGCGGCCGTCGACTAAAGGTTATCGTGCTTGCCTCCAACGCAAAGAGCCAGGGTTCGATTCCTGGGAGTTATTCGTATTTATTTATTCTTTCAGTTTAATGTTCTGGTGAATTGAAGAACATTGTTGTTTATTCTAGGCCCGCATGTTCTACGCGTCGAACCTTCTACGCCGATTATTCCAGAAGCCCACGCCTGTGCAAAAGGGGCTTCGCGCAGCGAGCCAAAGTCAGTGTCGCCCTCACGTTCGATCCTGCTTTTACGCCGCCATCGACGCCCGCGACGCTCTATTTTTAACTTCTGTTCCCTTTGTTCCCTTTTTTGGGCACAAGTTCGCCCCATTAGACGTTTAGTTTACTTTGGTTTTCGTCGCGTCATCACTTGTCATTTGTGACATTTTGGTGGAGGTGCGGGGTAGTGCATCCTATGCCCGTTAAGCGTACCCCTCCGAAGACATCCCGGCCAAGCGACGTGCTCAGGGCCGGAAGAATACCCTTTGCCGAAAACGCCGAAGCTCTAAGAAGCCATCGTACCAGAGGTCAGTCCCCCGAATTGGGTCTCTTGCCCGAGAATCGGAGAAAGAAGATACCGACAATGACCACCCCGCCCGTCGTCGTCCTGCCCGTCGCTCCGCGGACACCTGCTCCCTTTCTTGGCGAGATTTATGAGGACGTCCGAAAACTGGATCAACCAGTACGATCACGTGGACCGCCACAAAAGGGTGGAGTGACGAGCGGCGCCTGCACAACCTCTATTTCTCGCTTGAAGGTCCTGCAAGGCACTGTTCGAAAACTACGAAGCCTCCCTCACTTCGTGGGACCGTTGCAAGAATGAGCTGACGCGTACCTTCGCCAGTTAACACCGAAGAGAGAGGGCCGAAGATCTGCTGCAATCGAGGACCCAGGGCCCCGGTGAGAGCGTCACAAGTTTTGTGCAAGACGTCCTGCGCTTGAGCTCCCGCGCTGACCCTCAGGCCACCGAGGAAAAGAAGCTGCGTATTCTGATGCGTGGCGTGAGGAACGACACCTTCGCTGGACTCGTACGCAACCCACCAAAAACCGTTTAAGAGTTCGTCACCGAGGTGACGAACATGGAGCGTGCCTTCCTTGCTAGGGAAAGTCACTACTATCGGCACTCGGGCGTCGCAGCTTCTGCTGCAATAAGCTACGACATCAGCCCTGGCATCCCCGGCATTCGCGACATTATTCGTGAAGTCTTCCGAGAGGAGCTTCGCAAGATGCTCCCCGCTTCGGATCGTCCATACTCAGTATCGCTCGCCGAGATCGTCCGAGGGGAGGTTCACCAAGCCTTCCAACCTGAAGTTCCCATGAACCCGACTACGCCAGAGGAACCGGCTTTGAGCTACGCCGCCATGGCCCGACGACCGCCGCAGGCTAACCGCCAGGAAACGGCGCCACTCCGACGAAACCCTCCGATGCCGAAGTATCGTCGAAGCCAGGAAGGACATGTCCAGGACGTCCGCCCGGAGCGACATTCGCCGAGGAAGACCAACGTGTGGAGAACGGCCGATCGACGCCCGTTGTGCTACCACTGCGGGGAGGCCGCCCAAATCTAGCGCAGTTGTCCCTACAGGCAAATAGGACTGCGCGGGTTCCGCCCTAATGACCCGCGCCCGAGGTACGGCGAACGCCCTCGCGACATCGAGGAGCACCTCCGACGTTCGCCCACCGCAGCACCGTCTCTCCGCCGTAAATTCCGCTCCCCATCGCAACGACGTTCAGTGACTCCAGTGCCACGACCCCGCCGAGAGAGCCTGTCGCCACTGCGTCGCCGGGAAAACTAAGTGTGGCAACGCCTGGAGGTGGCGTCGCCGAAGACGACCGAAGTAAAGAGCCTCCAAGAACGCCGGAGCGCTCTCACGTTCTCGACGCCACGCGTAGCAACGACGCCTTCGCAACGGTGTCCAACAACCTAAACGTCGTCATTGACGGCCACGACGCATCAGCGCTCGTGGACACCGGAGCAGACTACTCAATCTTGAGTGGAAGGCTCTCCCGCCGCCTTCGAAAAGTCATGACGCCGTGGGATGGACCTCAATACTAACCGCCATAGGACACCCCATTACACCAGTCGGAAGATGCACTGCTCGCGTCGAGATCCACGGCGAAACGCGCCCTGTGAAATTCGTCGTTCTGCAAGGCTGTGCGAGGGACGTTATCCTCGGAATAGACTTTCTCTGCGAGTATGGCATCGTCATACACGTCGGGGCAAACCAGTTGACGCTGCGAAAGCCTGTCCTGCCGCCGGTGGAGACCAACACGACGTCGACCGCGATCCGAGTTATCGACGACCATGTGAACCTACCGCCGAAGTCGAGTGTTTTTGTCACCGTCATAACCGACGCAGCCATGCACGGTGAAGCTCTTCTGGAAGGCAGCGTCAGCACCTAACAAAGGGCCGCGTCGAGGGGCTTCAGGCGCCAGCCGTGGTCACCGCAATCTCCGAGGAAATTTTGTCGTCACGGCAGAAGAGCACGTCGCCACCGCCGCTTGACATCGACCCCGAGCTCCCAGCTTCTAGGCTCCCAGCTTCTAAGCGCCTTCCAGCCTTCGAGGAGAAATCTTTCAAATATGGCATGACGACCCAACGGCTGCAGACCTTGGCTACAGCAGGACGCTCGCCAGGATTCGAGAAGAGTACTACTGGCCGAGGCTACCGAAGACCGTTCACATCTACACTCGATCATGCCACTAGTTACAGCGACGCAAGAAACCACCGATGAAGCCGTCAAGATTTCTGCATCCGATTTCCCCCCGTCCACGCGATTTGAGCAGATCGGAATGGATTTACTTGGCCCCTTCCCGCCGTCAACGTCCGGAAACCGCTGGATAATCTTTGCCGCCGATTATCTCACACGGTACGCCGAGACGAAAGCCCTTCCATCAGGTACGGCTGCTAAAGTCGCCAAGTTCTTCATCGAGTCCATTGTCCTCCGGCACGGCTCCGCTGAAGTCCTCGTCACAGACCGTGGATCTTCGTTCATGGCCCAGCTGACGCAAAAGATTCTTTGTCTCAGTTGCATCGGCCATTGTCGAACAACCGCGCACCATCCGCAGACAAATGGACTAACAGAACAGCTAAAGAAAACTATCGCCGACGTGATCTCTATGTATGTCGACGTAGAGCACAAGACTTGGGATGAGGTATTACCCTACGCCACGTTCGCTTACAACACGGCGGCACAAGAGACCACAGGATTAACGCCGTTTCAGCTGGTGCATGGCAGAATAGTAACAACCATGCTCAACGCGATGCTACCCCACGAACCAGCTGACGATGGGAGCCCCGACGCCCATGTGGTTCCTGAACGAACCGAGGAAGTTCGCCAGCTCGCCCGACTCCGAATTCAAGATGAAGAACGTGTCGA